CAATTTCTGCCAATAATGGAACAGAGTTGACTTTTATGAAGGTTTCCAATTGCTCTTTTGTGAATGGACTCTTCAATTCATTCTTGCCCTCATCGAATTTCTTATAAAGGACAACAGCTGGTGCCGTGACTTCAGCCTTGGTTGCTGCCTCTTTTTGTCCCGTTTGACCAAATACATATTCATTACGCAAACTCTCAGCAACTGTATTAAAAATATCGTGTTCATTTTGACTTTCAGAATCCCAGAATCCAATGATTACAACATCATCTGAATCTTTAAAGGTATCAAGATTATCAACTTTGACATCAGAAACTGCCGGTAAAGATTGTCTAAAAAAAAACATCGTTTGAAAATTAGAAAAAAAAAAAAACTTTCTTTTATTTATATTAAACGATCCAAGAGTATTTACTTTTTCATGAAACTTATAATAAGATCAGCTTTTCTACCGCCAGTGTATTCTGCTGGTTTGCCTTCTTTGAAAACTTTCAAGGTAGGATATCCTCTAACTCCGTGTTCTGTGCAAAGTTCTGTTTCAACTGTACAATCAACTTTGGCAATTTTAATATTTTCAGCCTTTAGGGCGGTAGCTGCTATCTCGTATTCAGGAGCTGTTTATATAAAATTTCCAGATGTACTGATGTAAATAAGTATACATAGTAGTAATAAGGATTTTAAACAAACGGTATAAATTACCAAGGGCTTTGCAGTGTCCACACCATGGTGCAAAAAATTCTACAAGAATCAATTTTTCCGAATTAACAATACTATCGAAATCGCCTTTTTTTTAAGTTAATTACATCCGATGCTTCTTCGGCGAAAACGAAGGACAAAGCAGAAATTACTCCTACTACTATATAAATGAAGAGATTTTTTTTGAACATGGTTAATTGAACATCTAAGGAATAGCAAAAACCTGATTTGTATAATCAGCTTTATATAAAAAATATTCGTGCATAAAATTGTTGTCAATTACTGATTGGATGACTTAAAATCTTAATTGTTATCGTATGTGTCATTAATGCATTGGTGGATTTGTCTGTCACTCAAACACTGTTAGCACTCGATGCATATCAGTGCATAATTTTCTAACTTTAATAATCAGCTAAATATCTCTAAGAAATATCTGAGTAATATCAATGATAATAATTTACTTATTTTATTTTCTGGCATACAATTTCCTTTTATGATCACGCGCGTGTGACGCAACACATATTAATTATGAGGTTGCTTAAATCAGGAATATCGATCGATATTGCGGATTACTGACCAAAAGACCCGGGGTCTAATACAAAATACCCATCAAAAAACTTACAAAAGCTCCGGGTATATTAGCAAGAAAGAGAAATTTCATTTATATACATACTCCGCATTCAAGATAAGCAGCGTATTTTGCACCGGGTATTTTGTAAAGGGGATATTGAAAAAGGGTGGATTCCCCTATGTCAAGAAAATGATCTACATCCGACATAAAACACTATTTCTGTATTTCGATACGTAATACCCCCATTTTTAACATAAAAGTTTTTGTGTTAGCGTTAGCGTTTTTTGACGTTACACAAAGATCTTCAAAATACTAACTTTTCGGCTATGAAAAATAAAATCAAAGCGTGGAAGTTGACGTGGAAGTAGATAAATGGATTTACGTTTGTATCCGGATTAATCTGAATTTTAAATTAGCGATTGTATCCGGATAGACATTTTTATTATATGGGTATAATAAATTACCTATTATGTATAAGATATTGGTCATGCGATGATTAATATCACGAAATTTGGTTTGTCGAAGCAAATGATTGGCTTACATGTGCCGCGTAGCGGCACGTTTCAGCCAATCATTTGCTCCGACAGAACAAATTTTGTGTCGAATGATCCAATATCGATGTTATCGTGCAATTATGATCATGATTTACGACTAACTGAGCCTTAATTCGGGATTGTTGTACTTACGTAATAACGTGCAAAAAATAACAAGAAAAAAAATCTATGATCATAAGAGTTTTTGCATGATAAGTATACATTATTGGGCAAAAAT